ACTAAATCCCCAAATGAGCCTAATGACTCATTTTTGTGCCCATTCAACTGAAATTTTCTTCACATGCCCTGTGCATAATACTAATGAAACATGACATGTGAAGTGGTCTCACACATTACTAGCACAAAGTTAGTGCACTCAATCGGTTCCCATGGGTAGGCCTCACATTTCCTCCAGCAGTCCTTACATGAAGATGCTAGATCCCAGACTGTAAGGCCACTTTTCATTTCTGCAAAGCACACAAATTTTCTATACAAAGGAAATACCTGCTGAGCAAAAGCAGTTAGCAAACACAATGGCATGCACTGCACACAACTTGGGACTGACTCCATGCCGATCTTCGCTCAGCACCTAAGTTTGCTAAGCAATCCCTCACCTTCTTTGTTGAGCCTCTTGACGCATGCACTGACCTCGGCCGTGTACTGCTCGTACTGTGCTGCGGTATACTTCAGTGGGGCTAAGCCTGGTATGGGTAACATGCTCTCATCGGCCATGAAGGCAGCATGCTGCGGAGCTCCGGCTGCCAAAATGGCTGCAAAAGTAAAAGGCAACATCAGTCTAATATGTTGGTGAATCAGTCTCCAGACAACTGACAGAGCTAGCCCAGGTTGGACGGCAGTCTTCATTTTGTTATGACTAACATAGTATTGTCAGGGAATCCACCTGGGCCAAGACAGAGCATCCTGCCTGAAACATTGAGTTCACCGGTTCTTTTCACAACCTCGGGCAAGAAATTCACATGATGCTACCTCAACCCTTCAACTCATTACACCCGTCATGCAAATCTTAGTACATGTTTATTTTCCTTTTCAAGTGTACTTCAAGCAGACAATAAACTGACTTGGCACCTTAGAGCCACCAATTGATTGCATAGGAGCGCCCTCCAGTTGGGTCCACCATACCTCATGTAGGCTAAAGTCAGGTGCCAGTATCTTGACTCACCGGAAGCTGTTGCTGGTCCCACTGCACTCAGTACGGTCAACTCCTTGAGGGCTTTGGTCAAGTTGGGTAGGCTCTTAAAGGCAGCCTTGCTTGCTGATTCTACCAACTCGGGTTTGTTGCTCTGCACCATGTCATACAGTCTGGGGCGGAACTTGCCCCGCTGGAGTGAAAAAAAAAGGTGTTGAAACATCAGTGGAGTGAATATTGGACCGTGTAGATGCACACAGCAGTAGCGAGGATGAGTTAGAGAAAAAGCTTATTTGATTCATCCAACTCAAGATGAGAATTCTCACAGGTCTGGAGGACAAAGTAATTGAGCTTTTTAATCGCTGCAAACGAGCCAAGTCATATTAGTAGCATGGTTGAAAGCACCAGTGGATGAACATGCCATTGTCAAAATTCATCTGAGTAGCCTTGTGACTTGATTCATGACTGAGTAACCTGTGGTGGACTCACTAGGACTTGCGATAGCTCACTTATTGAATACTATGCATGGATGTGGTTTCAAAATTCATCCACCCACAATAACCAACATCAATTCCCTTGGAAGAAAATCTTACTCCCCAGGGGTCTCCTTTGCAGTTTAATATGCCAGTTTTTACACATGCCCTACCTCATTTTCCCCTCAAGCTATAGTTTGTGAAAGTCTCCACTTATGAGTGTCGGACACGATCAGTCAGTCTGCATGATTGATTGATTGACTGATTGACTGTTCAGTTCAGTTGATCCTGTAGCACAATCTGTCATTCTTCCATTGTCAACCAATTACTTTTGTCTTTCTCAATTGTGAAAGACTTCAATGAAAAGTTGAAGTGAGTTCTGAGATTTTCTAGAGGAGCAACCGATAGGGGAATGTGATGGATCAGGTTGACCAATAGCATTAAACACTCATAAATTTCAGAAACTACTTGAGTGAAAAAATTCGATATGGGTGAGTCAATAAGACAGTAACAAACCAAAGGCTATTAAAGACTTTATGTCTCTGCAAGCCACCTTACTTAAGCAAGGAACATTCTTCAACAAAGCTTCTCTCACAGTGAGTTTCCATTTCATGAGTTTGGTGATCTCCTCGTGAGTGATATACTTGGGGTCTCGCTCCTGAATGAGCTTGGGTAGTTTCTCCTGGTACCTAGTAATCACAACAAAAAAGACAAGTGATAGTTGAAACATGTTAATTTTTTTCAAAAATTTAAACAAAAGTGAACAAGGCAAATGAAACTGTAATCTTAGGTGGGCAGAAGGCATAAACACAAACTGATGGCATGAAATAATTTTCTTTGTCAACTGCCAAAATACCTGTATTTGTTACTTTGTCCAATCTTTTGTCGTTAATGATTGGCAGCAGTTTTGGTTTTCACTTTGCTAGTTTTGTTTAGTTGATTGATTGTTTAGGGGCCCTTGCTCACCATTTATCCAGATCCAGGAGCTCTTTCTTGCCTCCCGGTTTCTTGATGCTGGAGGCTTTCAGCTCCATTACGTTGCCATAGAGACCCAGCATCTTCTCCCAAGTAGCAGCACTGCCAGAGGTGAAGAACTTTGTTGTGCTCATGCTCCTGACTGAATAGTAAAATTGTTTTCAGTGACTCTTCCAACATCATGTCCAATTTTCTCATTACAATATCATGTGTCTATCCAATATCCAAAAGCATCCAATCTGCTTGTAAAATACATTCTGCAGGTTTTTTGTTTTACTTTCTGATGTTACCGTACTTTCCCCATTAAATTCCCCAACACAGCAACAACAAAAAGCCCTCGCTCAAAAGTACATCCACTCTTTCTAAACATGACAAGAATTGTTAACATATTTTTAAATATCAAAACTTCATTGTAAAATTCATCGGCCTAATTTAACTTCAGAAATTATTCTCGTTTTGCACTCCAAATTCCACAATAAACATCTACATGTAGGCCCTAACCTAGCCCAGGTTGGACGCCAGTCTTCATTACATCCCTCCGTAACGTAGTCAGGGAGTCCACCTGGGCTTGGCTTGGCCCCAAACCTGCTAACCATGATCTAACTTCTAACTGTGACGGGTTCTGATTTTTTCCTGGTTAACTTCTTGGCCTACATTTTCTACCTTTTTCAAGTAAGATTTTCTAAAACACCATGAACACATGTTAATTTAATTAAAATGAGCTTTTTACAAAAGTTAAACCAGTTTATGACGGTATGCATTGGTGTGGTACGTGTTGACGGTATGTACATGTATGTTTATGACGGTATGCATTGGTGGATGGCTGCTATTCTTACGCCCAAAAGCCACCTTCTTAATGTTTGAAAAATCGGTATTTTACGAGTTTACAAACAGACACGAGAGCTTACAGTTACATGTACTTCCTTTGAATCAATCAAATGTCACATGTCAGACAAGACATAGGCCTAACCATAGACCTGGAGGGGAAAACACAACTTGAATCCTTTGAATGTAAACAATCGTGCCTCACATTTCCCGCGGGTTCAGCAAACCCCACTTCCGGTCCTGTGACCAGTGTTCTCCAATGAGAAATTGCGTGCTGTATCTAATGAATATCACCTGGTTAAAAAATAACCAATCAAAAAACGTCTCTCAACTGAATACATCAAGATGGCCGCGGTTTGTTTGAAAGTTGTGTGCCGCGTTAAGAGAACAAAATACCCTTTGACGATTATTTTCAGCCTTTCTTGTCGGCAGTTGCAAGCAAGTTTAGTTCATTTTGTGTAACGCTCAGCCTAACCAACCCACGCGACAAGGTTGACCTGCATTGGCGCTGCTCCATCACGCTGTGCTTTATCAGTTGAGTAGGCCTAGGCGATGGCCTAGGCTGGGAAGGATATGGACAACTTAACACCAAGTTTCCCTTAACATGCTTAAAATGTTATAACAGTCGTCGGAAAGTGATAATATGCCCTAAAAAGTGAAATTTAGCTGAGAAAATTCTGAAGCCTTTATTTAGAAGACACGGTAGGGTTTTCAGACAAGTGTCATAGGTTTGTGTACAAGTGCATCAAGTGTTGTCCGTATATGGAATTCTTACCGAGGTTTGTTTTTCTTTTCATTTGAGTGACAGAATGATGAGCAGATTCATATTGCAAAAGTAATTGCATTTTAGACACTGGAAAAAGTAGCTTATGTTATGATGTGCCCTTTTTGTACCATAGGGAAAACATGACATTGATTGTGAATAAAGTGTTGTTAAAAACTTAAACATGTTATTGTTAAAGTGAAGATTTAACCCTAACACTCCTCAATCCTTCACCTGTTGGAGGACTGAGGACTGTTAGGGTTAATGGTACCAAGTGCATTATGTGATTTTTCATTAACAATGCTGTAAGAGTCAATGTTTGTTTTTGCCAAGTCAGTTTTAGAACTATTTCAGTAACAAGGTGGTGTACTTATCAAATGTCTATGTTCCTTTTTGGTACATCAGCAAACTTTTTCTGTCTTTTTTTTAACAGAATGAGTTTTATGTAACCTTGACTAAGCAGTCACTCATGGCAACCTGGGATTATTCAAGTTACAAAATGGACAGCAACAGATCAAAGGGTAGGCATTATTTTCACATTGCGACTTTATGTTTTTTGTTTTATTTTGTCTCATTTCCTTTCCAAAATACTGAAGGGGTAAATTTTTTGAAATAATTTCAGATGACACAGCCATCGCAAATGAGCTACTAAGGAGGGTTAACTTGCCGAGTGTGAAAGATTTGTCCGAGTGCACCTCCTCTGTCTTTGTTGCTCTTTGTGAAGGCATTCTTGGTGATCCACTGAAAGGTAACAACTAGTTTACTAAAAATATTATTTGAGCAAAAAGGTTCAAGTCTACGTGAGTGAGTTTTTCTTTGAAGTTTCTTGGATGGGGCATATGCACTACTTTGGGTCAAAGACAGGTGCCACAAGTATTACTTAGGTACAGATGAGGTGTGGAGATCTTAGGGTGGAAATCAATAGAATTTTGAAACTGTCGTCTTTCACTCCTGACTCAGAGGTTGGCTGAGTCGTGGCATCAGAGGCAAAGAATGATCTGTAAAGATTACAGCTTGTAAGCTTTCTCAACACCGCATAGAAAATACTTCAGAAAATCAACCCAGGATTTCTGGAATCAGCTTTGAAGATTAAAATGAAGTGAGGCCTAACTTGTGACTTCATTAAATAATGCGCCTTTTTCACACATGTACAGCACTTTTCAGTACTGAAGGACAATCAATGCACTTTGCACAATACTATCCCTGACCATAAATATTCTTGAGAACGATCTCATCTCCCCGGGGAGCGTATAGCCTGTTGCAGCCATTTTAGGCAAACCTTGATAATCAAGTTGTACCTGTGCGCACATGTACTCCTTGCCCAAGGTCACAAGATGCAATCACCTGCCGGATTTGAACCTCAGACCAATGATTGAGAGATAAACCCTACTTATAAGACCATTCAAATTAATGACTGACATGTAATTAAGCACTGGTATCTTCACCTGTGACTTTTAAACTCGGTGACAGCTCCAGCGAAAACAACATTGGTTTGCCCAAAACAGGTGTGTCCTACGTCCCGGTCACCAAAGAGGATGAGATCCACAACGTCCAGCTGGTGGTGGACCACCTGGCCGACAAGGTCCTACACTGCGACCTGTCCCACATCAGCGGCCGGGCAGTGGTGGAAGGCAACCGGGTGGCCATCCAGTACCTGCTGGAGATCTTGCTGGGGGTGATGGACTACATCATGGAAGGCATTGAGAGCGAAGGGTCCACCACCGACAATGAAGGTACAGAGGAGTGGTTTGTGTAAGCCAACTGAGCATTAGATTCGGCATGGTCAGTTGGATCGTCGGGCACTTGACATGCATTTCCTTTTGGTAGCATGCTGTGCTGGAAAAACAAATTAGCTGCTACTAACAAGAACTTCTTTGACAACTCCCAAAAAATCAACGGGCCTTCTTTTAAGCCCTAACTTTTATGGGCAATTAAACTGAAGTTATTGTGACAGTATTGAAAACTTAGCGCATTTTGCAGGATCTGGGAGGTGTGGGGCTGAAATACAAAGAATACACCAGTGGTTCACTGCAGTCCCAGGTTAACCCTAAAATATCCAGGGCACCTCCCTTGTTCATTTTCTTCCTGACCACAAGGCATTGTTTTAACCGTCCCGAGCCTTCATTTTTTCCAGGTGTCTTATGGTCATTTTAAGACTAGTTTTATGTAACTGGGAAATCCCATTCTTTAAATATCCTCAGTTTGCCACGACTGATCACCAAAAAAGTGAACTTTTCCCATGGACATGCTCAATGCACGGGCCGACACTTGAAAGCACGAGCTATAATTGACCATAAAAACTGAACTCTGTGATGGATTGATTTGAAACTTGATTAATGCACCTGTACCCATAATGGTTGTCTGTCCATGCATGGCAAGTTTCAAAAGTAATGGTCAAAGGATATGTTTGATATTGTTCCCCCCTCCCCCACCACTGGAAAAGGTAAAAAAAAAAATTGTTCATTTAAGGGCTGATGGGAAAGAAACAGACAAATTATTAACGTCCTTGTGTTTGT